TGCTCTATAGCCTCGTGGATCGAGTCCTCCTTTGCATCCGAGTCCTGACCGAACTGATCTGGATCTTAAGCTCGAGCTGCGTGAACACATAGTAGCTGCCCCAGAGCTAATGGACAGGGGGGCATGCCAGGAGGACGCGACGCGGAACGTCTCAAGGGACCCGCCAAGCGACGTGCCAAGGGACGTGCCATGGGGACGCACCGCGGGACGTGCCAAGGGGACGCGCTACGGAACGTGCTGGGGACAAGCGTTTCGCTCGAGACATCCTGCCAACATCCTCAGAATTCCTGCGCGCGGGACGCGGCACGCGCGAGACATCCTCGGAATTCTTGCGAGCGGGACGTGAAAACAAGCATTTCGCCTGAGACACCCTCTGAATTCTGGACCCCCACGAGGCCCCCCACGAGGCCCCTGCTCGAGACATCCCCCAATTTTGCAAAACCAGCGTTTCGCTCGAAACGTCTTCAACAAATTATGAAAGACAAGCATTTCGCTCGAGACATCCTGCCAAAATTCAAGGAAATCCTAGCAAAACAAACGAATTAGTCGAGACATCCTCGAAATTCCTGCGCGCGGGACGCGGCACGCGCGAGACATCATCGGAATTCCTGCGCGCGGGGCGCTTTTCCGTGTCGCGGTCGGCTCTGCAAAACCAGCGTTTCGCTCGAGACATCCTCAACAAATTCTGAAAACAAGCGTTTCGCTCGAGACATCCCCAACTCTGCAAAACCAGCGTTCCGCTCGAGACATCCTCAACAAATTCTGAAAAACAAGCGTTTCGCTAGGGACATCCTCAATTTTTAATTCGCCGGCCCTACGCGACCTCGTTATTTATCGCAAAAGAAATTCGCCGGCCCTACAGCCGTCAAAACCGGGGGGAAACCAACTAAAAGAGAACCCTGGGCTCAGGCCCTTTCCGGGAAAAAGAGAAGAGAAGAAGAAGCCGCCGCGAGTCTATTTTGGGGCGGTCTTCAGACCCGCCTGGGGCCGCGCGGGCTAGCAGCAGGGGGGCGCGAAGAGGGAAGAGGGAGGAGCTCGGCAGCCAGGAGCGAGGAGCGAGGGAGGAGAAACGAGCGAGGGAGGAGCTTGGCAGCCAGGAGCGAGGAGCGAGGGAGGAGCAAGGAGCCTGTGGCCAGGAACGCGGAGCGAGCGAGGGACCACGAGACAGAGAGAGAGGGAGGAACAAGCAGCGCGGGGTGAGAGGAGCAGGCAGCCAAGACAGAGAGGCGCGAAGAGGGCGAAGGGCTCGGAAGAGGCCCCGGGTGGCCCGTGCGAGTTGTCCCGAGGAGCTCCGTGGACTATGCCGCCCGCGAATTTGCGGAATCGGCAAGGGCGAGGATCGCTTGCCTGCTCGCCTGCTGATCTGCGTGCGCGGCTGCTGATCTGGTGGCATGGCAGCTTGCGGCCGGCTCGCCTGCTTCTGCTTCGCTTTTTCCGCCCCTGAGTGGCCTCTTCTCCACACCCCCCCTCCGCGGCCGCCTTCTCTGCCCTCTTCCCCTCTGGCACGCTGGCCAATTCGCTTCTCGGTGCCCCCGTTTCGCCCTATCGCTGGTGCTGCAACCTCTGCCTCGCCGCCGACGGAGAAACAGGTTCTGCTTCGCCTGCTTCATCTTTTGCCCGTCCGCGTGCTGCCGCTTCCCGACGCGTGCCGGTACTCGGCACCGCTTGCCATGACGTTCAACACACATGCTGCTCGCTATCGGCCCCTACGGGCTGGCGTCGGCCGGTGCGTGCTGCTGCTTGATGTTGATGCGACTCGGCGCTGTGTGCGTGGTGCTGCGTGGTGCTGGTTGATGCTGCGTGCCTTTTGTTGCGTGCTGATGCTCGCTGCCGCTGTGGTGTGCTGTTGGTCGTGCTTCCCGCGGGTGCTCGCCGTGGACGTTTGTGGCCGCTGTCCGCTGCACGCTGCTGTTCCTGGCTTCGTGCTGCGTGCCGCTGCAGCTCGCAGCTCGCTTGTGCTGCTTGCTGCTGCAGGGTGCTGCCTCTGGCTCCAGCGAGGAGCCGTCGGCGAGGAGCGACGAGAGAGTGAGAGCGGGAGGAGCGACGGCCGGCGACGAAGAGGAGGCAGGGAGGGATGAGGCGATGAGGAGCGAGGAAGGGAGGAGCGAGAGGCCGGGAGAGAAGAGCGAGGGAGGAGCCATGGGCGAGGAGGGCAGAACATGGAGCGAGGCTGACGAGAAGCGGCCAGCCCACGAACCTCCCAGTAGTGGCCCCGGCGCTCGTGGTCGAAAATCTGGCCTCGTCTTCGGGCCCTCTCGGGCCTCCTCCTCCTCCTCGTCCTCGTCCTCCTCCTCGCTCCTATTCTTCTCCTCCTCCTCCTCCTCCTCCTCCTCCTCCTCCTCCTCCTCCTCGGCATCCCGGGGCCAACTGGGCGCCCCTTGCGGTCCGTGGGTGCGGGAGCAATCCGGGGGGCCAATCGGACGGTGTCCCCCTGGGTTGGTTTCCGCGTATGCGCGGTGCGCGCCTCCCTTCCGTGGACGCCTCCGACCTGTAATCAGGCCCTGCGGGCCCAGGCAGCCAGAAAGGCCCCGCGGGTGGCGCCTGTGGGCGCTGCCGTTCCCTGAGATCCGACGTCGCAAAAAATCACGACTGGAGTCCCGGACCCCACCTTTTTGCTTCCTGGGGCCCACGATTAATTGAGCGAAAACGGACGAGTTGTGGAACAACTGAGGTTTTGGGGAGGCCTTGGTCCACCTTCTCCTCCTCCTCCTCCTCCTCCTCCTCCTCCTCCTTCTCTTCTGTTTCTGCTTCATCTTATTCGCATTGTTCTTATATTTCCCCTCCTGATTCATGATTATTAGTAGTAGTATTAATATTATGAATCGTATTATTCGTAGTAGTAGTAGTAGTAGTAGTAGTAGTAGTAGTAGTAGTAGTAGTAGTAGTAGTCGTAGTCGTAGTAGTAGTAGTAGTAGTAGTAGTAGTAGTAGTAGTAGTAGTAGTAGTAGTAGTAGTAGTAGTAGTAGTAGTAGTAGTAGTAGTAGTAGTAGTAGTAGTAGTAGTAGTAGTAGTAGTAGTAGTAGTAGTAGTAGTAGTAGTAGTAGTAGTAGTAGCAGTAGCAGTAGTAGCAGTAGTAGTAGTAGTAGTAGTAGTAGTAGTCGTAGTCGTAGTCGTAGTCGTATGAGTAGTAGTAGTAGTAGTAGTAGTAGCAGCAGTAGTGGTAGTAGTAGTAGTAGTAGTAGTAGTAGTAGTAGTAGTAGTAGTAGTAGTAGTAGTAGTAGTAGTAGTAGTAGTAGTAGTAGTAGTAGTAGTAGTAGTAGTAGTAGTAGTAATAGTAGTAGTAGTAGTCAGTCGTAGTAGTCGTAGTAGTAGTCGTAGTAGTCGTAGTCGTAGTAGTAGTAGTAGTAGTAGTAGTAGTAGTAGTAGTAGTAGTAGTAGTAGTAGTAGTAGTAGTAGTAGTAGTAGTAGTAGTAGTAGTAGTAGTAGTAGTAGTAGAAGTAGTTAGTAGTAGTAGTAGTAGTAGTAGTAGTAGTAGTAGTAGTAGTAGTAGTAGTAGTAGTAGTAGTAGTAGTAGTAGTAGTAGTAGTAGTAGTAGTAGTAGTAGTAGTAGTAGTAGTAGTAGTAGTAGTAGTAGTAGTAGTAGTAGTAGTAGTAGTAGTAGTAGTAGTAGTAGTAGTCGTCGTCGTCGTCGTCGTCGTCGTCGTCGTCGTCGTCGTCGTAGCAGTCGCATATTAGTATTACTAGTACTAATATTACGACGGTGCTGATGATTATTATTTGTGTTTGTATTTGTATTTTTAATGTTATTATTATATTATGTGTTATTGTTATTATTGTTTTCTTCCTCCTCCTCCTCCTCCACCACCTCCTCCTCCTCCCGGTGCCATCTTGAAGCAATCTTAGGCCGTCGTGGGGCCGCCTTGGAGGTCGGCCGGGGGCCCATCGTGGGCCATGCCTGCAGGAGGAGGAGGAGGCGGAGGAGGAGGAGAGGAGGATGAGAAGGAGGAGGCGGAGGAGGAGGAGGAGGAGCAGGACGAGGAGCAAAGTTCGAGGTGTTCGTGTGCTTTCGTCGGTTCTCGCCGGCTCTTCAGCCTCGGGGTGCTTTCTAGCAGCCGCGCCTCGTCGAGGGCGTGCCGGGGGTGCCCGGATCGCCCCGAGAACGACCGCCGGAGGCCCGAAGCATACGACCCGAAGGCCACGGGCAGGGGGGCGGGCCTTCTCAGAGGGCTCGGAAGTCCCCCGGCCCTCGTAGAAGTTTTCGAGGCCTTTCCCGAAGAGGGGGCCACATGCGAACCCTACCCCTACCCCCCACGACTTCTGAGGGGGAGGGTGGGGTTCACTTCGCTCGAAAGCTCTCAAACGAAGTGAACCCCACCCTGCCCCTCAGAAATCGTGGGGAGTAGGGTAGGGCTCGCATGTGGCCCCCTGAAGACGCAGAACACCTCTCCGTAGGCCCGGAGGCCTTCCGAGAAGCCCCGCCGCCTGCAGACGAGGCCTGCTCCTTCGCACTGCCCCCCCGCCGCGCGCCGCCGAGGAGAGCAAGAACGCCGTCGGGACGCGTCTGGCCTTCACTCCAAGCGTTTTCTTCAACAAAGGTCCAGGTTCAGATATGCGGGAGTTCTACGACAGAAGGGAAGCTCCGAAAAACAAGCCTGGGTTCCAATCCAGACTCTTGAAATCGTCTTCAACGAAATCTGGAACCCACGAACGTTGACCTTTTCTTGTGATTTTTGCTGGGTGCAGGACATTCAAAATGCTCGCCCGTCGCGGGCCCTCGGCGAAGCCACAGTGCAGCGTGTTGGGGCCACCTCGGCGTCGGGGGCGTCCTGGAAGCTCTGTGGGGCCGCGTGGGGGCGTCCGAGGGCTCGCCGAAGACGCTTGGGGACGCCTTGGGGGACATCCAGGGCCGTCCAAGGCCCTCAGGACTGCTCCGAGGACCTCAGGACTGCAACCTGGTTCGGGCTCGGAGGGCCTCCGGTCCGATGGGGGCCAAAAAACACAGTCGGGCACGAAAGAACAGACGATATTTGCACGCGCGGGCTCCTGCACTGGCATCGTACGAGAAATGGCGTTGGGCTCGAACTTCGCCTCCCACATCTCGCTCAGCAGCACCAGAGCCCGCTGCCACTGCTCGCCCTTCTCGCACGCGCTGATCCCAGCGGCGTAGCTGACTAGGGCTGACCCGTGGATTGCGTCCACGACAAGCGGCCTGATTTAAGCATACTCCTCCCGGCGGTCACGAAAGCTCACTCGCATGCAAGAGTGTGGGTCGCTTCGTTGCTTGACCTCCCGCCTGCAGGCCTGCCAACAGGTCAGAGGAGCGAGGAGGAGCACGTCAGGTTCGTGTCGTGCCGACTTCGGCTTTGGTTTCTGACATCGCGGGGATCGTTCAACCTTGAACGATCGGCCGTTTCCGAAACGTCCAAATCGGCAAATCGTTCCACATCGAAGGAATGTGGGTCGCACGCGGCGTTCAAAATGGAACGCCGCTGGCGGGGTCGCCGCCGGTCGACACGACACGAACCTGCCGCAAGTAAGAGCAGCAAGGAGCGATGAGAGCAAGGAGCGATGAGCAATGCCCATGCTCATTGAGCATGGGCGACAAGCAAGGAGCCTGGAACGAGGAGGAGGGAGGGAGGGAGAGCAGCGACCACACGGGTCCCCAAACGGCCTCGGCGCGCGTGGGCGAGCTGGCCCCCTCTGAAGTCGCCTGCTCGCCCTTCCCGCACGCACGGATCCCAGCGATGTAGCCAGAGACCAGGGCCGACCCGTGGACTCCGTCCACGACGTCTTTCTGGAGTGGCTCTCGGAGGAACGGCGGAGATCTTGCCGAGAACCTATCGGCACGGCGGCTGCCGGGGCGGCGGCGGCGAGACAGCGCCCTCGTGGCCGAGCTCTTGCAGCGCTCCCGCAGCTTGGCCCCGGCGCACGGCCCGCTCGCCCCCCTCCTGTCGGAGGCAGGTCTGAAGTCTCTCGGGGATGTGCGTCAAAGTCGATGCCCATCTGAGGCGTCGCAGGAGCGCCTGAGGAAGGGCTCGGGAGGCCAGGAGCGCCGAGGGCCCAAGAGAGCTTCCATAAGACGTGGAATCCAGTAAGATCTTAACAGAAACCGCTGTTGGGTCGGACGTGGAGAAGCCGTGTTGTTGGAGTTCTGTGGAAGGCGAAACTCTTTCGGACGTGTCAGGAGAGCTGGGCCCACTCTCTGAAGCCTCTTTGGGCTTCTTGGGGGGTTGAGGGCCTCTCAGAACCTCTTGTGGGCCTCTTTGGGGCTTTTTGGGACCCTCTTGGGCAGTCTGGGCTCCTCTTGGGCCGTCTTGGGGCCACGTTCAGAGCTCCGCACGTCATCTGGACCTTCATGAGGCTATCTTCTGGGCCTCCACGGGTTTCCTCCTTCTCCTCCTGCTCCTCCTGCTCCTCCGCCTCCGCCTCCGCCTCCTCCTGCTTCTCCGCCTCCGCCTCCGCCTCCTCCTCCTCCTGCTGCTCCTACTCCTTATCCTTCTTGCCTCGATCCTGCATGCCCCGGATCTTGGATCGTCAATCGTAGACCCTCGGAGCATCGAAAACGGCTGTTGGGGCCTACGTTCTGCCTCTCACCTGTCGTCCGCCCCCCCTCTGCTAGAGGAAATTCTGTAACCACTCAGGGTCTCTTAGTGGCCGTGTAGGGGCCTCTTGGGGCTTCTTTTCGGCTTCGAGGGGGCCTCTTGGGGCCCTCTTGGGCTCTCGTCGGTGCCGTTTGGGCCGTCTCGGAACCGTCTTGGGCGCCTCTTGGGCCGTCTGGGGGCCGTCTTGGGCGGCTCTTGGGGCTGTCCTGGGTGTCTTCTGGGCCGTCTTGGGGCCGTCGTGGGCCGTCTTGGGCGCCCATTGGGCCGTGTTCGGGCCGGCTTGGGCCGTCTTTGGGGCTGTCTTGGATGCCTCATGGGCCCTCTTGGGCGCCTCTTGGGCCGTCCTGAGCCAGTATTGGAGCCCTTATGGGGACATCTTAGGACGATGTGGGGGGGGCTGTGTGGCCGTCGGGGACGCGTAGGAGACGAAAAGCACGAGAATGTCAAAAATGTGAGCTCCCCGAAAGGAGTGGGACAATTTTTGCGTCTCGAAGCTGTCCTGGGGAATCCTCGAGGGCCGTCTTCGGAGGCTCCTGGCCTGCCCTGGGGACCGGCCTCTCGAGCGGCCCGCGAGCGCCCCTGGAGCCGTCGGGATGGCCTCTGGAGCGGCTCGGAGCCGTCTTGGGGTCGTTGGGGCGCCCTCCAGAGCGGTTCGGAGCCGTCTGTGGGCCGTCGGGGCGGCCTCTGGAGTGTCTCGGAGCCGTCGTGGGGCCGTCGGGGCGCTCGGAGCCGCCAAAAGCCGCTCTGTCCAGAAGCCCTTCTCGCAGGCACTGCTCCCGGTATTCTAGGAGAGATGACGTCGGGCTCCACCTTCGCCTCCCACATGACGCGGTGCAGCGCCAGTGCCCGCTGCCACTGCTGGCTCTTCCCACACGCGCTGATCCCAGCACTGTAGCTAACTAGGGCTGAACCGTGACCGACCGGTCACGAATCTGTCCGAGATGACACGTTGGACCAAGGCAGAGATGTTACCGAAAGGCTTCCGTGATGACGTTGGACCGAACTCCGCTTCCGCTGTTGCTGCCTGCAGCTGCAGGGTGATGTTGCCTGCGGATTGTTGTTACTGATGTTTACTTTTGCTGCGCTGTCGTTGCCTGCTGCGGACTGCTGTTGATCGCTGTCGCTGGTTGATGCTTGAGCGTGCTGCTTCTTGGTACCCTTGCTAGGTGACGCGACCTGCAGCTCGTGAGGAGCGACCCTTGCTAGAGCGAGGAGCGAAGAGCGAGGAGCGTCGAGTTAGGCTCGAGGGGGGAGGTGTTGGAAGCGAGAAGCGATCAGCGAGGAGCACGGAGCGAGAAGGGAGGAGTGACGGCCGAGGAGAAACAGAGAGGCGAGGAGGGATGAGAGAGAGAGAGAGAGCCGAAGACGAGGGGGAGGCAGACGCCAGTAGCCAGGAGGGACACGCGAGGGGCCAGGAGAGAGAGGTGGAAGGAGCCAGGAGGAGCGAGCACGGAGGAGCCAGGAGCGAGGAGGTGGAGGCGAGCGGCGAGGAGAGAGAAAGAGAGAGAGAGAGAGAGAGCAAGGAGAAGCGAGGACCGAGGAGCAAGAAGGGAGGGATGAGCCCTCTTTCTCCTCCTCCTCCTCCTCCTCCTCCTCCTCCTCCTCCTCCTCCTCCTCCTCCTCCTCGGCGCGCGTGTGGCCGAACATCTGGTCTCCCCTGGGGTCGCTCATGGGGCTCTCTTGGGCGGCCGGCGCGGCCACAGATCTCATCAAGGGATCTTCCCTCGAAAGCCTCTTGGAGGCGGCTGTTGGAATGTCTTGGGGCCTCTCGGGGCCCTCTTTGGGGCCTGTTGGCGGCCTGCTGGCGGTCTCGGGGGGCATCTTGTGGCGGAGGGCGCGACACGTCAGTTCGAGTTCCCCCATCTTGGGGCACTCTTGGGCCCTCTTGGGCACCTCTCAGACCGTCCTGGGGCTCTCTTGGGCCGTCTGGGGGCCGTCTTGGGGGCGTGTTGGGCCGTATTGGTGCAAAATTGCGGGCCTCGTGGGTCGCTTTGGAGCGTCGGAAGCCAGAAAAAGCGAGACCCCGCAAATCCTTGAAAAACCTGAGGGACATGCACGATAGAGGCCTCTCGTGGCCTTCTTGGGGGGCCTCTACGGGGCCTCTTGGAGCTCTTTTAGGCCGTCCTGGGGCCCTGTTGGGCCGTCTGCGTGCTGTGTTGGCAACCTCTTCCACCATCTGGAGGCATCTCCGGCCTTCTTAGGCGATCTTGAAGCCATCTAGGCCTCTCCCGTCGGTCCACAGACCCTTCTCGCACGCGTCTGCCCCAGCATTGTAGACATGATGTCTAGGGCTGGCTCGCGGACTACGTCCACGCACTCTGCACGAACTCGCGAACTCTTCCGTCGGCGGCGAGGCAGAGGCAGACCGCTCCAGCGTGTGGCATTTCGGGGCAACCGAAAGGCGAATGGGCCGGCGTGCAAGAGGGGGGAGAAAGACAAGAGCGGCCGCGCGGGTGGAGAGGGAGGGGAAAACGCTCAGACGTAGGAACTCGCGAACATGCCGAACGGCTAAAATGACAGCGCGGGGCTCGAACTTCGCACTCCACGCCCCCTGCTGCGGGCTGCTGCTCGCGTCCGCTGCTGCGCGCGGCTGGCGGTGCCTGCCGCTGCGGCGCGCCGTTTTGCAGCTCGTGGCTGCAGCGTGCTGCTGATGGCCGCTTGTGCTTTCTGCGTGCTGATGTCCACTGCGTGCTGCTGATGCTGATGCTTGCTGCTGCTGCTGCTGCTGCTGCTGCTGCCAGCTTCGTGCTGCGTGCTGCTGCTTGCGAATTGAGCTCGAATAGGCTTCCCCGGGCGCTCATTGGAGGCCTGCAGGGCTACAAGAGGAACCCCAAAGAGGGCCCCAAAGAGAGCCCTTAGATTCGTCATTCGGGGTATGATCAAACACAGAGACCCCGAGTGACAAGTCTGTGGACCCTGCTGAATGCTTTCCTGGGGCTCTCTTGGGGTTGGGGCTCCAACAAGGCTCCCGAAGGCACTCTGGGGGCCTCCGAAGACGCTCTGGGTGCCTCCTAGGGGCCCTGACGGGACTCCTGGCATTCCGTAAGGCCTGTCGGTGGGCGGGGGGGGGATCTAAAGGGGGTCGGGGAGCGCATTGGGGACATCATAGGGCGCGGTCCTGGGCCGTGCAGGGACCGCCTCGGCGCCGTCTGGAGCGGTGCTGAGGGCCTCTTCGTCTGCGTGGGAGGCTCTCTTGGCCCGTCTTTGGGTCCTCTTTGGGGTATCCTGGGCGGGCTCGAAGCGTTCTCGCAGGCCTCTGGGGCTGTTCTGGACGCCCTGGGACCTGGCGAAGCGGGTAAACCAAAATCACAGAGAAGCAAAAGGAAATCAATTGCTTTTTCTCCCGGGGGCACTCTTGAGGGTCCTCTCGTGGCATCATGGGGGCAATCTCATGCCGACTTCAAACCCGCATGAGGCGTCAGGAGGATCCCCAGGACAGTCCTTGGGTGCTCTTGGGG